TGAATTTTCATATTATTCTTGACCTTTTGGTTTATTAACAGGCTCCGCAGTCAAAGTCTAATATGGATTATGATTTTCTTTCTATAACATTAACAACGAATTTCTTAAATCTTCATTAATTCTGATAGCTATCTACACTGTATGTTATTAATATTCCTTCGTAAACTTCTAAATCGTTAAAAATATCCAACAAGCAAGTTTACGATTGACCTGCTGATTGATGTGTTTTTTATTGGTTCCATTTTAATGTTACCACGTTAATAACAAAAGCTCCCAACTCTTTGATATGAGAACTATATGTAACTACCTGTGCCTCGTGGTTTTACCCGCGGTTTTTTAGGGATAATTTACAGCATTAAAACGAAGCCTTTGTCCAGGGTATCAGTTAACTCCATACCAAATTTTATTGTATATCGCTCCAGCCGTCTAGACGTGAAGAAGTTACAAACATACTCATTCACAAACTTTCGCTTTTATAATATTAGTGTGAGGAAAACCTACCATAGAACAGTACACTTAGCACGAACCAAAGGGGTGCTAGGGGTAGTGTAGATAGCTATCAGAATTAATGAAGATTTAAGAAATTCGTTGTTAATGTTATAGAAAGAAAATCATAATACATATTAGACTTTGACTGCGGAGCCTGTTAATAAACCAAAAGGTCAAGAATAATATGAAAATTCAACAAATTCAAGCTTTATGTCAATAGTACTGTACCTCTAGCACGAACCATTATCGAATTCGAATAGTTTGCAAACCGAAATGTCAATGTCAAATTTTGTATGGAAACTTGAACAGCAGCGGCACAAAGTACGTAACGAGAACTAAAAATCAGTACACATTTGACAATGACATTTCACTCGCTGTCTCGCAAACGTTACGAATTCGATATTGGTTCGTGCTAGGGGTACTGAACTGGTGTTTAACTAAATCCAGACTGAAAAATTGTCATATTAATATTTTTTAACAATATATCTTCAAGTCACGGCATTCACTTTCAATAACATAAATATTTTTTTAACGCGCGAACGAAAATAAAGGCATTGAGCAACTTTGACAAAATGCCAGAACTAATTTTAATGAAGTAAATAATAAGGTAGCCACAGGTACTGACCGATTTCGCCAGCGTCACTGAAATATATTTTTAATAGCCTTTGTTTAGTACTTAAAGTAGCAGTTACGAAGAAGCGAGTAACTATCGGCTATTTTCTCGCTCAAGAAACGTACAATAGCGGGGTCGAGTCCCGCCTGCTGACTGGGCCGCGTCGATATTTGTCTAGTTAAATTAATTATCTTTAGATTTAAACATCACAACTATAATTGCTATTTCTTCTTTCAAATGTTTAATACTTATAAACCTTGTTAACTACCTACATGCGGAGAGATGGTGCTGCCTTGGAGCTTAAAAAAGGCTAGAGAAAATACGAAACGGCCGTCAGGGCCGAGGTAGCATAATGGTCAGTGCATTCGCCTGGATAGCGAAGGGTGCAGGAGTCCCGTCTGGTGCCTGGTCCGCGTGGATTTTTTTCTAGTAAAATTATCTTTAGATTTAAACATCTAGCAGTTAAATGCTTCAAAATTAAAAAATAAACTACAAATTTTTTGCTAAAAATGCAACAACTATTTTCATTTTTTAATGAGTTGGACCACGATCATCATCATCATCCTCATCAGCCTATTAATGTCCCTACTGCTGGGGCACAGGTCTTACCTATGGATGGAATAGGGAGATTGGGCCATGACCCACCACACAAGCCCAGTGCGGATTGGTGGGTGCTAACGACTGCAGATGCAGCCGGGACCAACGGGTTAACGTGCCTTCCGAAGCAAGGAGGAGCTCAAGATACTAAATTTTTGGTCACCCATCCAATGACCGACCACTGCGAAAGTTGCTTAACTTCAACGATCGTAGCCGAACGCGCTAACCACTTGCGCCATCGAGCTCCTCACGGGCCACGATATTTCTCATGAATTCGTTTTTGAGCGTTTCGACTCCACTCGCCCACTCACTAGAACCTGTTATTCTGTACTGGTTGATATTAACTTCGTACTCACAGGATAGCAGTTTTACTACTTCTGCCAAATTTTAAAGCTTGCTTTATTTTTATTCTACCCAAGCGGGGGAGCGGGTGTGAAATCCTCACGGATACCCTACAGCTGACTACAAGGTTATATGTCAGACTCCTACTGCAACGATATTAAAACCCTAGATACACCAACACGAACAAAATCATGCCCGAAACCTGTCCACAAGGTACAATGGACGATCCACGGAGCTTCGTAAGATGATCGCGTAATTTAAACATTAAAAGGCATTATTAAAACATTGAAGATACCTTTCACCTTTAAAGCATACTGTATAAGGTCTTTATTAAAACGCATGCGTCAAAGAGTTACGACATTCCGAAATGTAAGCTCGTAAAATTTTTTGACTTATTACTATATGCGGAAGAATATAGACCTTATTTCTTTGACTCTACGCGCAATTCTGAATGCGCTGTAACAGGTACGGTCCGCGAGGAAAAGAGATGGCTATATTACCGACCATGCATTTATATATTACAAATATTTTCTATTAAATCAGTTTATAGTAAGTGTTAATACAAAATTTACTTCAAACGCGTTAAATTAACAAACGATTAAATACCTGTCGAAAAAACGTCACTTTACACACTATAAGTATTTTTTTCACGGAGCTCAGAGGCGTGTTGACTTTTCAACGGTCCGCGCGTGACTGTGAATCAAGAAGTACTTGAGTTGTGTTCAAGCAATTCTTGATTGGGACACATTTTGAGCGCACGTGGTGTATCTAGGGTATCTAATATCGTTGTCCTACTGACTAAAGCACACCCGTAGTTCATGCTTATTGCCGGAAGGGCCTTACAAGCTTCACCTCAAGCGATCATCCCCTCAGAGGGGGGTGATGCAATTAATGCTTGCCAAATCATGGCTCGACGCATCGTGGTAGATTGATGTTGCCCAATATGCGTACTCAATATTACAATAAAAATTGCTATCCGAATTGTATAAAAATCTATGATAAGTTAACACGCTTCATAACGGAGCTTAGTATGCCTATACTTGAAAGCCCTTTTACAAAATTGCGCCGCTGCCGTACTAATCGGCGCATAGGTAGATATTGCATTTTAAGGGTGATGTTTGGAGTCTTATAAAATAATTATTATTGAACTATTTATAAAAATATATACATATTTCAGTAGTTCAATGATGGTAAATTAGTTTTATGAAAGTTTTTGATAGTAATTATATTTAATTCAATATCAAAATACGAGGTAAACCTGCATTATTTTTTGGGAAAACTCACGGAGGTTAGATGTTTTTTTTTTGATAATTAATGAGATGGAAAATCAAAATTCTTATAAATTATGTTACAACAAAAACATATTTCTGATGTCGCAGTAATCAATTTGATCTAATTTATTGAACATTATTGAGAGATTAAGGCGTTTGAAGTTGTGCATATTATCGTTTTTTCCGTAAACTAGCTGCAGTAGAACGATCGGTACAATAAAATGGAAAATAGTATTTGCAAATATTCTACATATGCTTACAATAGGAAGAATAAATCTACTGTTTACTTCTATTGGAAATAGTCAAAATCTTTTCTAAGGCGGTAAACAAGGCGCTCAAAAATTACGATTTTTTGCAAAAAATGTGAAAGGGCTCTTAAAAGGAAGCTTAAAATGTGGTCAATTACAAAATGTTTTTACTAGAGTATTTAGAAACGAAAATGGAGTTAGAATTGAATAAATAAAATAACGGAAGTACCTATAAATTTAACAATTAAATTAATCAATCAAATTAATGTCATGGCTTATAGCCAAGCAGGTTAGCACTTTTCACATGATGATAGTCATAACGTACTTTTTTTTTTGTCTGTGGCAGTTTCCGTTTTACACAGAAATTTCGCCAATGTCCCGTTGTGATAACGTACTTCATAGTTTGATTTATACTAGCTGTGCCCTGCGGTATTACCCAAGGTTTATTAGGGATACTTTCCTGCCGTTAAATGTAGCCTTAATCCAAGGTGTCAGCTAACTCCATACCAAATTTTATTCAAATCACTCCAGCCATCTAGACGTGAAAGAGTGTTAAATTAATAATAATAATAATAAATATTTCAAACATTCACACCAATTAGCCTAGCCCCAAAGTAAGCACTGTAAGGCTTGTGTTATGGGATACTAGGGTAACGGATAGAATACATATACTGTACATATATAAGCATATTTATATAGAAATACATATTAAACATCCATGACTGGAGTTTGTACTCCAGTCATGGAGCATTTGTATGCTCGTATTCATCACACAAACACCTACCCCCACCGGGATTCGAATCCGGGACCTCTCGAGTCGGCGACACCATGAAACCCGGCGTACAAACCACTCGGCCACGGAGGTTGTCAATTTACACACTCACACATTCATAAACTTTCGCCTTTATAATATTAGCTTGATGTTTGTGTGTTGTTTTTTTAAGCATGTAACTGCTAGATGTTTAAATCTAAAGAAAAATTTACTAGAAAATATTCCTCGTCTGCTGCCTGATCCGCGAGGATTTTTTTCTAGTAAATTTTCTACAGGTTTAATGTACTTCGTTGTGTTAAAGAATACAATTGAGGTGTCATTATAAGTATTCCACCAGCGGGTAAATCATTGTTTTCCCGCTCTAGCCTAGATTTTCTACTAGTTAAATTAATATTTTTGCTCTCGTAAAAAATAAACCTTTAGCTTATAGGGGATATGAACATACGACACTTTGATTGATAAATCGATAACTTTTACGAAACTTTTATTCAAGTATAAAATTCTATTTCATATAGTTTTTTTACTATTAGCAATGTAATATGGTAGGAAAAGATAAAAAGCTCAAACAAGCGTTCTTCTCAGTCCAAAAACATATCATCAATCCACAAATGTCAACTGGAGAAAAATAAAAAGTCGCCTCTCTAACCATTTGTATATTTATACGGCAGTCCAGCCGCCAGCGTCGGCGGCAACGGACATGGCGTAGGCACTGGACTCACTAGCGGGCCGGATATAGCGCAGCCATGTTTAATTTCTTCAAGCGAAAGAGCGGGAAGGCCGAGGTCGCGCCGCCCGAAATACCCCGGCGAGCCCCGACCGCACCCGACAGAACGCAAGCGCTCGCGCCAAACGACAGTGATGTAACGAACGAGAGAGCGGCAACCCGCAAAGATGTAGTCAACTTGTTAATACCGCAAGTAGATTATAGTCAGAAGACCGGAGTGGGCGCGATACTCCAAATGATGGCCGGCAAAAAGAGGAAAAACAAGAAGAAGCGCTCGGAGTCCTGTCGCGTGAGTCCGCCGAAAGAGACGCAGATAAATCTGCAGCGCAGCAGGTCGGACGTGGCGCCGGCTGACGTCACAACCGAAAATACGACCGACGACGGCGATCACAGTCAGACGCAGTGCGCCGACGACCCCGCGGAGTTCGTGAAGGCGTTAGTCCTGCAAAAATACACCAAGCCGCCGCCCGAGAGACACGTGTCGCTCGTGTACGTCGACCCAGCCGTGGACGAGAAGCGACATGCCGAAGCATTGCTCCGCGAGATCGCGAGGAGCATAGACTGCACCATTGAGGGCATCAACAAACAGATGGGGACCACTGACAGCAAAACGGAACGCAGAACTGAGCCGGTGTATGAGACCATCGAGGACGAAAACCAAAACGGAATAGACGCGTACAAAAACGAACTGAAAGGTGAACTGGACAAGTTGTTGCTAGTCGAAACGAAGGAAACGAGAGAAGTGTCGCCGGCGCAGACAAAGAAATCGAACTTGAAACCCCCGAAATCGGACACGGAAGGATGCTCAGATGACGATAGATCCGATTGCGGGAAGAAACGCGTCACATTCAGAAAACACATCGTGTTCGACGATGGGGAGCAGCAGACAGATGAAGAGGTGGACTCCTCGTTCGAATCTCTCTCTTCCGAAGAGGAAGAAGAAGAATATTTGGAGGATGCCTTGCCGGACAACGACAAGCCCTTGGGTGGTTACGTAGTTTCTAGCGAAGATGATAATAGGACATTAATCAAAGTTACGGATCATTCCGACAGTGTGAATGTTAACGATGACAGTTTGAAAAGAATATCCAGTGACAATAGTGACAGTGGTTTCATTGACAGTGAGAGAAATGAGTCTGGAGACGACGCGACTTGCGCTAAGAGCATAGTAGTGGAAGAAAGTGAACAGAGTGAGAGTGAAGTGAGTGAAAGTGAGACGGAAGAGGAGATAGTTGAAGTGATCGAGGAGATAGAAGAAATAGAAGAGGAAGAGGAGGAGGAAGAAGAAGAGGAAGAGGAAGAAGAGTGTGTTCATGCTGACGATGAGCGGATTGTTGACAAGTAAGTAACAGTAGTTAATTGATCTCATTGAAAACGGTTTGTCGATTTTTTAGGTTTCAGTGCCCATAGGATGTCAAATAGAACCTTATTAATATGCCTCTGCCATCTGTTCGACTGTCTTTTGATTTAAAATAAGTTATTTTCGCAGAATCACAACATATTTAAAATAAAGTTATTCATTAAATGAAATCTTCATACATAAAACGCGATTTTCTCGAATCCTTTTAAACATATACATACCGATATTGATTTTGATAAGTTCGGCTTGAAACTGCGTGTGAGTTCTTAAAACTGTACCCTTAGTACGAGTTTTTCAATTACGAAAACTATGATAGTTTTCGTGAGCTCGCACTCGTACTAAGGGTACTGATTTTATTGTTTTCGTTTCAATACAAATAAACAGTGTTTAAATTCTATCATTATATCATTTGCGTCTTCATAAATTTTAAGTTTAATTGATTACTTTTCACCAAATGGACATAGAAACATAATTTACAATTCGAAAACTATGATAGTTTTCGTGAGCTCAAACTCATACTAAGGGTACTGATAAAAGATAGAGAAAGGTGCCGCAAATAGGATTTTCTTTCTCTAATTGGAGCACGTCTGGGGAAAGTAACCTTCGTCTTACCAAAGATTACAGTAAAATAACACTACCTGTACCCTTAGCACGAACCATTATCGAATTCGAATAGTTTGCGAGTCCGAAATGTCATTGTCAAAGGACATTGCTCGTTCCCCATACATTGAATGCCCTATAACGCCCAGCAATGAGAAAATGCTAGTTGTGTTCGGAATCATTCATAAACTCTAATTAGGCATTTGTTGAGATACGGACAACTTGAGGAACAGTGGCCTACTACAGAATGTATTAGATTTTGAGGTTATAATTATTATACTTAATCGTAAAAGATGTACAATTTATATATTCTATTAGATTTAGTTTTTACCTCTATGTAAGCACTGAAATAATATGCATTAAATGAACATAAAATGCAATTAATAATAAAAATAATAAATGCTTATATTCATATTGATTTATGAGTGTTGTCAGTTGGCACCTATGATACCTATACCTACCTGTAGTAGGTAATAATAGATTTCTTTTCACATGAAATGTTCAGTCTTGCCATTTACCTGTTTCTATATTTTACTATCGGTAATTAGGTATGTTTTTCAATATGATTTTCATAAAAATAAACAGATATTACATGGGATGGGAGTACAAACTATATTTACATAATTTCAGAAATAATCTTTTTATAAATATAATATAAATACTAGTAATAACTATTATTGACTAAGGTACCTAGTTCTATTTTTATGTTGATAAATACCTATGGTCGCCTATATTGCATTCATTAAGGTAAACAATCTTGACACAACTTTTTAACAGAATCACCCGTTTAATAATAAAATATTAACGAAGCCAATAAACTATTAAAATAAATCGTTATTATAGACTGAAACCTATTGAATCTAGTTATCAGTTGATTTTTAATGCTGTATTTTCAATAAAAAGGAGTGCCAAGTTGGATGAACAGACTGTAGTATCTACTAACAGAACTTTTATTTTCTTAAACAGATTGTCCGTTTACAATGATTAATTGCTAATAAGTTAAAAAAATAATATAAAAATAATAGTGAAGGACATTCTTTTGGGCATGCTAGGGCCGATTTCGTCGATGTCCTTTTGTATGGAAACTTGAACAGCAGCGGCATAACGGACGTAACGAGCACAAAAATCAGTACACATTTTACAGTGACATTTCGGACTCGCAAACGTTACGAATTCGGTATTGGTTCGTGCTAAGGGTACTGTACCCCTAACACAAACCATTATCGAATTCGAATAGTTTGCGTTTGCAAAAGTGCGATTGTTATTATTATTTAATATTGCAATCGTCTATGAGTTATGAAAGCCACTCACCATCAGGCGGGTCATACGCATGTTTGCCACCCTTTTATGTAACGTGAAAAAAAGGTTGACAGCTCAAAATTTCACAGAATCAGAACAAATAGGTAACACAAATGATATAAAGATATTCAGTAAAGAAGATCGTCTATAAATAAATACCTATATTTCCAACACTCACACCAATTAGCCTAGCCCCAAAGTAAGCACTGTAAGGCTTGTGTTAGGGATGCTAAGGGAACGGATAGAATACATATATTTTACATATATAAGTATATTTAAATAGAAATACATATCAAACATCAGTTACTGGAGTACAAATGCTCGTATTCATCACACAAACATCTGCCCCCACCGGGATTCGAACCCGGGACCTCTCGAGTCGGTAACACCATGAAACCCGGCGTATAAACCACTCGGCCACAGAGGTTTAAAATCCTACAAAAGCATTGTTTTTAAGAAAAATTAAAGTCATCGTTCAGTACAATTTGGGACACTGTATGATTTATTATGTGTATAAGCATTTTACTACGACATTAATAAATATTTTTAGATTTATACATCCTGTTTATGGAGGTAGTCTTTATTCGCAATAAATTGTCGTAAATGTAAGATGCAGTAGTATTGATTAATGTATTTATCATAGATCGTAGTTACCAATGATGACTATTTGCGTGGTGGAGTGCTATGTGCACCGGTTTTCAAGGCGTCGCCTTCTCTGCGGTCCTGGGTTCGAATTACGGTGGGGGCAATGTTCCATTCAGAAACTCAGCGAAGGCTGTATTTTTCCCATGCTGCTAAAGAAAAAAAATCTATATATTTATCGACAATTATCTGTAAAGATTAGAATACATGTCCAAGCTTATACCTATACCTGTAACATAATACAGTAGAGGATTACATTGACCTTCACCGAGCTGATAATAGAATGAAACATATTTTATCATGGTATATTAGAAAATATATTAAAAATGGGTTGCCTAAAAAATCCTGGACAGACAATTTTTATATTAATTTATAACAATATATATAACAAGTAATATAAGTGTGTATATGTTTAATTAAATGTTGCTACATCAAGATAATAAGAAAATGTTGTCCTGACTTAAAGTCTAAAACGTATAGAATGTGCAGCCGTTGGGTAAAGTAATTGGCAACAACATACTTGTTTATACATGGCAACCCAGTAGTTTACCCAGGTAGATAATAGACAACCCAACGGCTATTAGGTTCCGATCTTAGACTAATAGAATTTTTAGCAGTCTGAAAAATAAAGTACTAATTTTGGCATGTGCGTTTAAGATGAATATTTTTCACGGTTCCATTATTCTGACAAAAAAAACAGTTGTAACTGAAAATCATGGAAAGGAAAAGTATTTTTTGATCGATTGTCACGTGAAAGTAAACCTAAAATGACGTCACCTGCTTGTAAACACGCAATGTTTGCTAGTGAAACGTTTTTTTTTCTTAATGGTTTCGCACGGTTTGTGCATTTAGCCAATGTTAAGTGTTAAAATGTTTACAAATACTATAGCACTCGTGGTCAAAGTAATAAATCAAGTCAAAGTAAGTGGCAGTCAAGTCAATCCCCCTTTCCCTATGTTTCAGTAAAAGTATGGAGATTTACTGGAACCTCCCCTTGGACTTGCTGAGGGAACATCGAAAGACACTTTCCGCTATTTCGTTTCACTTGCCAACATTTGTGCATGTTCCCGAACACTTAGTGGTTAATAATCCACCATTATTAGACACTAACATCCGCCACAACACAATTTTTAACAGGAAAAACAAAACTGCTAAAGTGACGCTTCCCGATCCCGCCAAAAAGTCCTCTAGTGAAACGTTTCCGCGGCATATTTGAAAACAACATTTTTATTTTCGTGTTTTTACTGATATACCCAATAGAATTATAAATATCCATTCCACATTTATGGCGTTAGTCAGTATACGCTAGTAAATAACGTATGAACATTATCAAACCTTGCCAAATAACCTATCGATGTCTAACTTTTGCTCTCAATCAGAATATTGCGAGAGTTAGTAGGTAAGTTGTTATAATTTTTATTTTTTAAGCATGTAAGGAACCATTCAGAAAATACATCACACGTTAAGGGGGGGGGGGGGGGGGGGGGTGAGGGGGTCGACGCAGTGTTATATTGTGTGACAAGTCCTGAGTCTCGTGACGTCACATTTCACAATCTTTATAATATGTAGATCTCTATCTGTATGGGGTTTTATTAGTTTTTTTTGGCTAATTTTCGGAACTGCTGTATTACTACTAATTTCTAAATTCAAAATAGCAAAATATGTGACGTATTTGTTTCTTAGGCTTGCACGCACATCGATCAATAAATAAAACAAACTATATTTCAACGGTATAGACAGAGCCATCTTTCCCATTGGGCACTTTGGGCAAGTGCTCAGGGCCCCGCGATCGACAAGGGGCCCCCTCAGATCAAATACAAAGTCCCTAATTCCTGTTAAATCCTAATATGCCCAGGGCCTCCAATAGGTCAAAGACGGCACTGCATCCTTTTCAGGCTGCGTCGTCAAATTATATATATATTAATATTCTAAAAAAATAATATCATAAAACAAGTTTCTACGTCTAAAAAGGATGTGAAACGTATAATAATATCATAACTAGCAAACCAGTGAACCAAATGTTCACCAAACAAAAAAAATGTATTTAATTAATTGAGAACTTCGGAGATTTTGTGTGGTTTCGTTTGAAATAGAAATCACGTGATTTCTCGAAAACCGGAAGTGCTACGTTACTCAAATCCGGTTTGTAGTCTTATCAGACTATTCTTAACTTATAACTTAAACATTCTCTTTATCTATCTCTTACGGTTTGGCCGCTGAAACAGCACCACGGACGGACGGACGGACTTGTCTATTAGATAAGAGATTCTGACGACGGACTCACCCTGAAAGGGATGCGAACCGTCATAAATAAATAAATCAGTGCATCTATACCATTGAAACTTGTTTTATTTAAAATAAATGTGTGAAATATCTTTCCCCAACTTCTAAACTTTAAAATGAAAGCAATTGCACGAAGCGAATAATCACACAATTTAAC